CAATAGTACCAACATAAGAATTAGTATTCATTTAGGTCAAATCATAAAACATTATAAACTATAGTTTTCTATTTCAAAATAGTAGATTAGTCTGCATACTAAATGTGCATTTATCAAATCAATTAAAAGTCAAAATATTAACAACCCAATGTGATGTATCAGTAGATCTGTGATGGAATGAAGCAGGAGTACATGAGCAGGCCTTACTGTGGTCACTACAATTCTTTGAAGCTGTCAGTAAAATCAATACAATTATCACTCCAATGTAGCAAAGCCAAATCTGTCTGATGCTAAATTAGACAATGGACATACACCTGTTTTGTTCATTTTGTTTCACCACCAAGAACCACAAACATATCAGAATATGTGTTCAAACTAAAATTAGTGTATTTTTCTGATAAAATAGTACCATTAAATATAATAGTTTCATGGAATGGATTATCAGGGCTTTGCGAATAGGTTGACACTTTGAACACTTTCCCAATACACACATTTTCTTGGACCTGCTTGCTCTAGGTGTCTTTCAGATAAATACTGTGTTTGGTTTTCTTGTTGAGTTCAACCATAGACTACGTCTTTCAATAACGTCTGTACAAGTACCTGAGAATTGCTTTATTGTATTGATTTAACCAGGACAGCAGTTTTAGCAATGTTGCTGTCTTCAAGAAACAGTTATTTTTTTGCAACCCATAGAAGAAGTTGATAAACCTTGTCTGCCTTCCATCAAGCTATCATAGAAAACTACACAACTGTTATACAGTTGCTGAACTCAGAGTTGACGTTTGGCTCTGAATAATGGTTTCCAAAAAAGAATTGACCATGTGTTGAAATCTGGCTTTGTAACATTGTTATGATTGTGGTTTTTATTTTACTGCTAATTTTATAATATGTCAAAGCTTTGGTTATAACTACAAGTGAATCAATATTTTCATTGTTTGAATAATTGTGGTAAAAGTAAATGTCTTGAGTAAATTAAAACTGACAAGAAAATATGAAATATTTCGAAGGGTATCCAAGCAACTACCGTATTTGACCTTGCACTTGTATTCTTAACAATACTACACATGACTACATAGTAACCAAAATGTCGGTCTGATACTCACGGCAGAACTCTTTTATCTAAAATTGATTTCAGGGCTGTTTTGACTCCTTGACGCACCTGAGATTCTAGTGGTGGATAGAAATTTGGCATTATCTGTAGAATTAGAAAAAAAAATAGTTTAACTCTGGTGACCTTGCCTTTGTTGTATAATATAATTCCCTTTATCATAGTTTGTTTCAATATAAATATGCATTGTCATAATTATTTTGAATACAAACAAGTTTTAAGATTGAAACAGTAGTGGGAAAGCAGTCTACCAAATATCCTTGATTGATGTAAATATCTTACAAAAACATTGGTTATATATTTATATATATTATATATTTTTGGCTGAACAGAATGAAAAATTGTAGTTGTATGCATTGTTTTATTCATTCACAGCACATATTGGGGACAGAATATACGTGAGGGAGGTATAATTCATGGCACATATTGGGGCCAAAATATGTCTTTACAGGGAAATTATTATTCATGCGAGGATAGAATGTAAATTTGAATAGATAGGAAGAGCATTATTTTTGTTCTGATAACTTTGGACTAAACAGACATAGTTTTCTCTCGGCTTTGGATCAAAAGTTTGGCACCCAAAGTTTTATTCATAGGAGTGCTCATATCGATTATCTGACATCTTGTTTTCTGTTAAGATTTTATTGGTAGGTTTGCAAATGTGTATCAGACTGTGCAACAACTCTCTCCATGAGTTGGTTTGAAACCCAGTCTAGTATTTCCATGAGATTTGGGAGATACATCTCCAATGATATTGATTACAAGACACACCAATTGCACACATACACCAATGCATATTCCCACAGGGACCAGTGACCTTTGAATATGTATCATCAATAATAATTGAAATAGAAAGTCAAATTTTTTTATCAGATTTTGACTACTACTTTTTCAATTTTTGCATGATATTTTTACACGGGACAGCACTAAGGGAAGATTTTATGCTGATGCAGTAGGTGACCAAGTTTGATAAAGTTTGAAATAGAATTAGTAGAGTTATTGTGCACACATTAGCAATTATTAACAACGCGGACAGACATTTTTCCCTTAAAATACTTTTTCCTTTCATCTTTGATGATACAAGCAAGGTAAAAACACTAGTGCTCTTGTCTTTGTCTACATCAGTTTTAAACAGGTGCCTCACACAATTTTTTTTTTTTTCAATTTTGCATATCAGTAAAGTGCACCCACATGTGGTAGAATAGAGACATGTTTGTTTTCTATTAAAAAGGATGTTTTGCTGATCAAAGCAAACTTTAATGCATGTATTATTTAATAAATATTGAATATGGAGCCTTTTTCTTGTTTTTATGGTATTAAAATAGTCTTAATATAAACAAAAATTACAAGAAAAATAACAATATGTTACCACATCATTATAAAATTTTTCCTAAGATGAGAGGAAAAATTCTTTTTTCTTGTAAAGTGTAGCAGGCAGGCACAGTTCTCAACATGATAATGGTCAATATGAACAATAACAACGGATTTACTTATTCATCTGTTGTAAAAATGACAAAGTGACAAAAATTATCAATTTGATATTGGTCTACATAGTTATAACAGGTGTTCAACTTACCCTACATAAAAAATCCAAGAGGGTGGCAGTAATGGCTAAATGTGATCTCATTGAGTGGTGCATTACCAGTATTGCTGGTTCTACAGAATATAAAGACAGACAAAATGTAAGCAGATAACAATGACATTATAAACACCAAGGGCAGACACACTTTCTGATTACAAACAAAATTGACTAACAAATATTTCCATAATTTACAATCATATATTGTTAAAAATTCTTGTATAAATAGTTTCTAATTACACATGGATGGGATTTTCACAATAAATAGTTATAATAAAAAGTGTGACAATTTGTCTCTGATGGTGCCAGTTGTAGGGTGGTTTCAATATTAGCCTTAAGGTAGCCTGAACAAGTGTCATCAAACATTTATTATTATTTATCATTAAATTTAGTAAGATTGTTTTCAACTTTAATTTTCAGATAGATATTTTGTAAAATTTATAATTTGAAACCAATGTATGAGCCCAATGTAAATATTAATTAAGGTTCCGTAAATAATAATACTTACCAATATTCATGATATTGTCTAGTCTTGGTTGATAAAATAACCAATCATAGAACAATGCCAGTTTGGCACTAGAGGCTGCCACATTAGACTGAAACCAAATACACACACATTTTACTATAAATGAATTAATTATTCACTGGATTTTAATTTCGTTATTTTCGCTGAAAAGTAAAATCTACTAAATTAAATCTATGTGAACATGTAAAATAACAATAAAACTGTTTCCTTGACAAATTCGTGTAATTAAAACACAGTGAATATGCTTAAAATATCAAAATACCGATAGTGAAATTAAATGTCAGTGAAAATAAATGGTTTTACAGTAAAATTGGACTGAAATCAAAGTCCACACATACTATGAATAACAATCCATACATTCTGAAAACAAATGTATTTATAAACAACCATACTAAATGATTTGGTGCTGCATCTGAATAAAAAGTCACATGCATACATCTTATGATAATATTTTTCTGAGGTCAAAAGATGTTGGAATTGAGTATCACAGTTAATGAGGTTGAATTGAGTACGAGGATACCCCCCCTCATAACTGTCTAATACAAGTAGTGTTGTGATGCCATTAATA